AACCCTCAGTTTGTTTCCTGAGATTAAGAATTCCTCATATCAGTGAGATCATATGATACATGTCTTTCTCTGATTGACTTGTTTTGCTTAGCATAATACCCTCTAGTTCAATTGCATTCTATTATGAGAACCTACTGGAAAAAGAGGTGGGGCCAGGAGGAGAATGAAGGCAATGCAGTCCACAAACCATGGCCACAAGGCTGAATCCAGCCCACCACATGTTTTTGCAGGGATATAAGAATGATTTTTATGTTTTTAACTATAAAACATGTAAAAGACTATTCACCTCTCAGCAAGAACAGTTGTTCAATTTTGCTTCTTGGCCCACAGAGCCTAAAATATTTACTATCTGGCCCCTTATAGAAAAAAATTTGCTAATCTCTAGTCTGAAAGACAGAGCTTTGGGAAAAGCCAGATTTGTAAGGAAAGCCTCACTATATAGAGCTGTGCTGTCCAAAATGGTTGCCACCTTGCTATATATAGGTACTGACATTTAAAATTAAATAGAATTTCACCAGCCACATTTCAATAGTCACCTGGGGCTAGTGGTTTCCATATTAGACAGTAAAGATATAGAATATTTCCAACATCACAGAAAACCTATATGACAGTGCTGGAGGCTGTGTATTTCCATGCACTAACCTCCAATTTCCTGAAACACCTTAGTTCATTAAATGGGAACTCAGTGTGACTAAATGTTCCTCAACCAAAAAAAAAAATCAGTCAATCCCATTTTCCTATATTCAGAAACAAAATTGAACACCATCCCTGTCCTTGGACACCATTGACAATCTGATGATTTAGCTGTCCAGACATTCCAATGGTCTTAATATGATAAATATTTTAGCTTATACTGAGTTAGGAAAGGTAGCAAACATCTTCATGCCAATGCTCCTGGGCCCCTTCCCTAGCTGGTTTACCCTTGTAGAATCTCTATGTTGCTCAAATTCTCCATTTGTAACATTTGTGAAGGTCTTTTTTTGTAAACTGTAAAGCACTGCCCCAGCCTTACTCATGGTTGTGTTCCCAATATCTAGTATTGTGCCTAGAAAAAAGACACAATAAACATTTGTCAAATAATAAATAGAGCTTCTTGTCAAAGAAGAAAAGACCTCTATCAGGCCAAATACTGTAGCAATGACTTTTCCTATAGGACTATTCAGAACAATGTTAAAACTATTCAGTTATGTACAAATGGTGATACTTTAGAGCCATTCGTGTAACACCCTTTTCATTGTCCTGCAGCAGTTAGACCAGGAAGACAACTCATGATCTCTCTCTTTTCAGGTGATGGAGCAAATGATGTAAGCATGATTCAAGCTGCTGACATTGGAATTGGGATATCTGGACAGGAAGGCATGCAGGTATTCTTCTCATTTCTTCCCTCTCCTTGATCCTTATTGGAGAGTTATGGAATTCCCCCACAGTGTTGGAGGAACTTCTCCCCAAGACCTTTGCAGAATTATCATCTGAGAGTCACAGACCTTCCATGCCTATACATAATCTCCATCACTATATCCCTGCTGCCCAGTCCCTCTGATACAGAGGAAAATTGAAGGATGCTTAGCCTTTCTTTGGGGGGGGGGGGCGCAAAAACGTGGTTTTATTAAAGCATGGGGAAAAGACCCGTGGGCAGAAAGAGCTGCACCAGGGTCATGGGGAGTGGCCCATTATATACTTTCAAGTTGGGAGGGGGCTACAGATAGCGTAAGTCTCTAAGGAATTTTGGAAGCAAGGTTTCCAGGACCTTGAGGGGGCTTAGCTTTTTTATAGACAGCCAGCAATACCTGTATTCTAATGCCAAAGAGTACCCAACCATTCAGGAAGGGCTAAGTTTTCCACTGACTCCATTCTTCCCCTCTGTAACCTCTACCCACATCCAAGAGTGCAGTGCCCTCCATGAGCAGTGACAGATATAAGAACATTTGAAAACATTTTTCAATTGCCATTTTAGTCTTGATGGCCAGAATGACATATAAATTATAAGGTACACTTTATTTTTTTTTGCATTATTTTTTATTTTATTATGTTAGGTTAATCACCATACATTGCATCATTAGTTTTTGATGTAGTCTTCCATGATTCATTGTTTGCATATAACACCCAGTGCTCCATTCAGTACATGCCCTCTTTAATACCCATCACCAGGCTAACCC